ATGATGAGGTTAGAGAAGTATAATAAGAAGTAATCATGTTAAGTGAGTTGGAAGGAAGGAGGTGATGGTCAAAAATTCACATTTAGGAAGCGGTGCTGTTATTGGTGACGGCAAAATCAAGTAAGTATATGACTATGTGAGAGAAATAAGATGATGGTTGAAAAAGGTCAAGTAACTGGAGACCAGGGTGTTGGATGGATCACACATGGCCATAATAAACAGGAGGAGAAAAAAGAAAAAAAAAAAAAATGAGCACAGAAAAGTTAAGTTTTAGATTTGTTGACAGGAAACTGAGGAAATTTCTGTTGAAGGCTTTGTTACCTTTTCTCTACAAAGCAGGTGGACTATCAGATGCTGAGAGTGAAGCATAGAGTAGTAGGTTAAAGTATGCACAGTGAGAGGTTTGAAACAGATGCTATAGAGACTGGAGGAGAAAACTGAGACCTGTAGTTAAGAGGCAAGATAAACTGGAAATAGCACCTCCCTACTAATGGTATCCCACGCATACACTGAAGCATAGTTATCTCTGTCCATTTTCTGCTGATACCAGAAACTCTTTAAGGACAAAGATTGTGTTTTGTCTTTCTATCTCTTGTGTTTCACAGCGCCTAGTGCTTATGCTTAGGGAGTACTTAAAAGTGTTTCTTTTGAGTACTGGAGCGTTAACTCAGTGGTAGAGCACTTGCCTAGCATGCACACGGGCCCTGCTGTTCAATCCCTAGCACTACAAAAAAACAAAACAGTAATGGTAATGAGGAAAAAAGTATTTCTGAAGAAATGGATGGATCAGTTATTACATTTGTCCCTGCTTTATTTAATGACATCTAGGTAACATAGCCTTCTGAATATTACTACTGCCACCACTGTGTTAAGTTATGACCTTTTCCTGACAGAGGCAAAGAACAGTAACAGAAGAAAGGCAGCAAATTGGCAAGGGTTAATTCCTTACAGCTGGGGAATTTTCTTTCTTGTGGATTTTACTGAATCAAGGAACTATTCACTATACAATTTTCTCTAATCATGTAATTTTTGCCTCATCATGTAGCTGAAAATTAAATATCATTTAATTTACCTGGCATCAACACCATCAAATACTTTCTGACACTCATTTCCAATGACTTCTTGTTTTAGATAATACAGCATTCTTACACGAAGCAAAACCCTAAAAACAAGAGAAAATAAATCAAAAGGAACAAGACATTATTCACCAAAAAAGAAAAAAAAAATTCAACCATGGGGTTAAAATTAGGCAGGAATTTGTATACAGGGTTATTTACTTATTTATTTATTTGGTAGTACTGGGGTGCTGGGGTTTGAAGTTAGGTCTTCATGCTTGCTAGACAGGTGCTGTACCACTTGAGCCATGCATCCAGCCCTTTTTACATATGGTTATTTTTTCATATAATGTCTTGCTTGTGCCTGGAACTGGACTCAGACTGCAATCATCCTGCATAAGCTTCGTTGTAGCTTGGATGTAAACTGGGATTGCAGATTTGCCCTACCATGCCTGGCTTGTTTGAGATGGAGGTCTTGCTAACATTTTGCCTGGGTAAGCCTTGAACCATCATCCTTCTGATGTCTGCCTCCCAAGTAGCCGGGATTACAGGCATGTACCATTACACCCGACCCTGTAAACAGATTTTTTAATAATAATAATTGTGTCTCGTTACTGTCAATATACAAAAGATTTCTAAAAAAAATCTTCATAATCATTATGTAACAATCTAGTGGAAGGTAGTTTATTTCAAAACACTACACAAGAGATACCGTGATTATTGAAGGATACCCTATCAAGTTAAAAGATTAGATCAGTCTTAGACCTAATCTTTATAGTCTAAAATATATAGACTATGCTGTAAATTCAGAAGGGTAATTTTATGTTAAAAAATATCCTACTACCTACTTATTACAGTGGTGTTTTATATGTTTTTTGTAGCCTTCATCTTGAAGTAGCTGCTCAGGATTATATTTTCGAAGCCATTCTGCTTTTTGTATGTCAAATGAGCTTGTCTGAGTCTTTACTTTCTTCCCTTTTCGACCTCGGGGTACAGGAGCTGACAGGCCTATTAAAATGAGAAGTACATATGAAATCAAGAATAATATGTATAAAAATCTTCAATTTGAAAGTTTTCAATACAAGAAACTTCTGAAGACTTTCTGAAGTGTAGTTTACATAGAGACTTTTAAAATATTAACAGCAAAAATACTGACTCAATGAGTCGACAATGGTTTTACAAATAGTGAAACAATTCCCCTCAAGTATCTAACAACTCTGTATCTAAAATTAGAATAATCATTTTTCTGTCCTATTTGTTTTGCTTTTCTTCTGCTACCTGAATTATTTAAAGATATGTTGGGCCTCTTGCTTTTCAAAATTAATTTTTATTAATAACAGGGATTAATTTAGCCATTGGGGGTTCCTGTTTGACCTAGCTAAATTCATTTTGTTTCTTTGAGATTTGTGTTGTAATGTCTTCCAAAAATTTTAAGAAAGTATTCTTGTCATGATCACACATTCCATCTTTTCTCAGTTTTTTAGGAAAGAAAATAATACAGAGCTGAAGTACCTACACAGTCCTCTCCCATCTAATTCACTTATTCCTTCCCGGGGATAGGTACTACCCCGAATTTTTTTTATTCCATGTTTATACTATTATTAAATATGTTGAAGAAATATTTAGGATTTAAGTTTTTAGACCTTTAACCTTGATTTTTTAAAAGTTTATTCATGCTGATTTATGAGGCTTTAATTCATCCATTTTGACTGCTGAGTAATAATTTATTTCATGACTATACCACTACATTTATTATTTTCCATGGTATCAGAGTTGTTTCAAACATCTTATGGTGGAGAGGGCAATGCAATAGCTAGTCTTTATTGGAAAACAAGAAACGTTACAGCACATTCTGAGTAAGTTAGTTATGGGACTCAGTGGGCCAACTGATGGGGTACCAGCTTATAATGGGTTCCAGTTTGGGCATCCACAAAGAGTCTCGCTTTTGTGCAGCCAGAACCAGATGACAGTAGTCTTCTTCACTGGTGCAGCTCACTATTCTCTTTTTGGTGATAGATGGAACTAAATTAGGGTCTTTCTTGGTACCTGAAACTGCCTATGGGGGTAGCATATTATAAGAGTTCAGACCCTTACAAGCAGCAATCATGATCTTCCTCTCCAGCCCTGTAGCCTGCTTCTCATCTGCAGGAATACCAACTCCAAAAGCCACGGAGCACACTGAAGCTGCCCCATTGGGGCCTCAGGCCTTCAGGGCCAGTGTGGCCAGCACGCTGGCTCAGTGAAGTAACCTTCCAAACATTTTTATGATTAATAATGAAGTTTGGACTACTCCTCCTAAATCTTACCTCATTTCTCTTTTCCTTACCATATTATAGCAGGTTGAAGTTCTATTATAATAGTGAATAAAAATACTATATGGATTTGCTCATTTCTTCTCATAATTTTGGCATGTTCTTTTTCTGGGTTACCTTCATTTTAAAATTTTGCTTTTATATTTCAAGACTACTTTGTTAGCTATATACCTATTACATTTTTGTTTAATAACAAACTCTTTTGCCTAGGCTGGCTTGTAACTACAGTCTTCCAGATCACAGCCTCTTGTATACCTTGTGTCCAGTTATTATTGGTTGAGATAGGGTCTTGTGAATTCCCTGCCTGAGCTGGCCTGAAACCATGATCTTCCCAATCTCAGCTTCCCAAGTAGCTAGGATTTTAGGTGTAAGCCTTCCATGTACAGCTTAGATATTCTGTATTTCTAATAATCCTTACATGATTTTCTCATAATAATCTTTTAATCTCTTCATTTTTTTACTTCTCTTGCATTTATAATTGACAGCGTTATTTGTGCTTTCAATGTTTTTTTCAAAGTTACAGAATAATATCTGAAATATCTTTACAAAATATTGATAAAAAGTTGTCATCCCCTTTGTAATTCAGTTTCTTCCAACTTCATTTTAATAGTTTAATTTTAACCCATATAATTAGTGTTATTTTCCTCCCAATGGAAACTCTTTAGCTTTCTTACTTGAATATTGTATCTGTCAGGATCCATACATTCATTTAATCCTCATGCAGTATCCTAATACCACAAGTAACAATGCAACCCAGAGATCTTCTATTTTACCCTCAGAATAAACTTCAGTCAGTTTTTACCCTGGCTGTGAGGAACTGGAAAGGGTATTTAGAGATTGGACCCCTTTAAGACAGCTTTTAATTACAGTCCCAAAGTTTTAACATCCACTTCTAGAGGATATGATATCACAAATTCTTGAGGCTTTTGAGAAATCTGTTACGCACATCAGGAATTTTGCTTTGCTTTTTGCCTTTTTCCATTGCTGAACTAAGATTCAGCTCTCTCAGGTTGACTAAGTCAGTTAGAACAAACCTATTTGCCTCCAGCTTCTAAAATTGTGTTGTCATTTCCTTTCTCATTCCCCTATGAGGGTTTTTAAAAAAATTATATATTATAAACATGTGCAAAAGTAGATGGAATAATATGATAAATACCCCTGTCCTATTACTATCTACCTTCAACCTGTGGCCAACAATGTTTCATCTATATTCTGTTTTCTTTCCCAAGCTCTCAAATTGCTCTGACATAAATCAAGATATTAATATTATGCATAATATGTGTTTTTAGTAATATCTATCTCTTTAAAGTATCTAAGGAATATAATAATAGTTTCTTTAATATTCAGTATTCAAATATACAATTATGTAATAAAGACAATAAAAAACTTCTTTTGAGTTGTCTCAATCAGGATCTAAGTAAAGCCTCCAAACTTCAATTGGTAGATTACTCCAACCTCTTAAAGATAACAACAGGGTTTTATTTTCAGAATTATTAATATTTTGGCCGGGATAGCTCTTCATTGTGAGGGACTATCTGTGTACCCCTGGTCTCAACTCACTAGGTGCCACTATTATGTTCAAAGTTGAAACATGCTAAATTGAGTATGGCACTAGGGCACAAGATCTTCTTTAACTGAGAACCTCTGGCTTATTGATACCCTATTCTAGGCACTCCCACAACTTATTAGTGAAAAGAGCAGATCAGATCTTTTTTTTCTATAGTTTATCAGGCTATATGAATTTCATTTTCTCCCCTATTTAATAAGTAGAGTTTTAAGGAAGAGTGAAATCATATTGATGTGATTCTTACATCTTTACCTAAAGGGTATTCCCTCACATTAATTTGTCTCCTATTAAGACAGGCCAACACTAACCACCCTATCTAAAATACCTATCTTCTGTTGTGTAGTAATTAGCACATAGCAATTACTATATTGCTTCACAGTATTTATTACAATATGTAATTATTTAATTTATCTACATTCTTACTATGTCTGTATAGCTGGCTGGAATGTAAGGTTTAAGAGCTCAGGCATCTCCTCTATCTTATTTCTTTTTATCTTCTTTTATCTTTCCAATACCTTGCACAAGAAATACATAGCAGACATTTAATAAACAAGTATAGTTTTGGTCTTTTGTTTTTTGGTGCTGGGGACTGAACCCAGGGCCCTGTGTATGCTTAACACAAGCACTCTACCACTGAGATACTTCCCAGCCCTCAATGAATATTTATTTACTTTTTTTTGGCACTGGAGTTTAAACTGGAGGGCCTCACATTTGCTATGCAGGCACTCTTTCTTCTTGAGCTACTCCACCAGCGCTTTTCTGTGATGCTTTTTTTCCGAGATAGGGTCCTACGAACTTTTTGCCAGAGGCTAACTTTGAACCACGATCCTCCTGATCTCTGCCTACTGTGTAGGTAGGACTATACAGGTGTGAGCCACAGGTGCCTGGTTCAATGAATATTTTTTGATTAAACAGAACAAAACTGCTACATAAATTTAAGGGCATAATAATCTTTAGGATTTTTTTTTTTTTTGGTGGTACTGGGGTTTAAGCCTCATGCTTGCTAGGCAGTATTCTACCACTTTCGCCACTCAACTAGTAATTTAAAAAAAAAAAAGAAAATTAAATTATTTTATGCTAGGAAAGAATTGTTTAATACAGAAAAGAATACTGTATTAGCAAGGCTAAGGAGAAAAAAGTACTTGCATATACCTCTGATAGATTATACATCAGTATAGTCACTTTGGACAGCAAATTACAGTACTAATGAAAATTTAAAATGTCTATCAATGTTCTTCAAACTTCAATATACACGAAGATTCTGATTCAGTAAGTTTGAGGCCTTTAGATTCTGCATTTCTATATAATACTGACCTATAGACATTTAAGGCACTAAAGATATATACATGTTATAGTTCATTTTTTGACATATACTTTAGTGAAAGATTTATTCAAATGCACAAAAAGGAATATGCAAAGTTCTTCACAGAAACTTTTTCAATTGTCTAAAACTGGAAACACAAATGCCCATCATTAAAGGAAGTAAAAATCAAATTATGAAATATCCATACTATGGAATGCTAAACACAACCTAAAAAATGAGACAGAGGTACATGAACACAGATGCAAAGACTGAAAATACACACTGTAAGGTCAACAATTTGCAAGTTGATACCTATTTGACAACAATATGCAAAGTCTAAAATCCACCAAATTGACAACACTGGCATTTTCTGAACTTCAATTGAGGGTGTTTGAAGTTCTTTACAAGTATCTGCAATGCTTTAATATTTTAGAGGAGAATACTGAAATATTGTTCATATAATCAAAAAAAGCTTAAAAACAATGTTCTTACCTAGATGATTTTGTAGCTCACGTGTCTGCCCATCTTCAGTTGGAGTAATGAGATCCCATATGAAACCTTTAATTTTCTCATCTCCTCGGTAGTGAACAAGGCAATAAGCTAAGAGAGCTCGGCAAATTATTTCTACATCGTGTTCATTTAGCTGCCTTTTAAAACGTCCATGAGATAGAATCTCTCTCCATCGGCCCCACCTGGTTAAAAAAGGTATATTCATATTAATATTAAGTTTGAGCAAAAAACATAACTTATGGATAAAAGGCATGAAAAACTAAAGAAGTCTGTCATTACTAGGACTTGCTAATGTTTGCCCCAGGTATCAAAAAGACATAGCTAAAGTAATTTCTAGTATAGTTTATTCAATAATTTAACATTATTTACTTTGCGTTACAAAATAAGCAAATTTGGTAACAGGAAATTAACTTAAGTGATCAACGACCAACTTATCACTTCAAACAGTTAAGAATAACTCATCAGTCAGCTAATAAATACATGTTAAACACAGAAATTCTGCACTTTTTTTTCTTTATTCATTTATTCATATCTGCATACATTGTTTGGGCCATTTCCCCCACTGCCCCCTGCCCCCTCCCTGACCCTCCCACCCCCTCACTTCCAGGTAGAACCTATTCTGCTCTTTTCTCCAATTCTGTTGAATTCTGAATGTTTTAAAAATAGATTTAACAAAGGCTGTGGACACGGCTCAAGTGGTGCAGTACTTACATAGCAAACGAAAAGCCCTGAGTTTAAGCCTCCAGTAATGAAAAAAAGAAGAAAAAAAAAGCCAGCAGCTGAAGCTTGTAATTCTAGCTACTCAGGAGATGGCATCAACACCACTAAATTTAAAAAACACATAAATAAAATCAAATCCATGAAAAGGGCTGATGGAGTGACTTAAGTAGTAGAGAACCTGCTTAGCAAGCACAAGCCCTGAATTCAAATGTAAGTACTGCCAAAAAAAAAACAAAACAAAGAAAAAAAGGTTTTATATATATTAATAGAGGGGTGAATATGATCAAATTACATCATAGGCAGGTATGGAAATATCACAATGAAACCCCTCACTTTGTATAATTAATATACAAATAAAATATGCTAATAAAATAATTTTTGAAAGACTATTGATCCTAATAAGATTAAAAATACTCAAGCCCAGTGTTTCCTGTAAATTTATTAAAAAATAACATTTTACCCATAAACTAGCAGATTTTTCTCTACTCTAAAGCATTCAGTTCTTCCATAGCCATTGGAGCGATCACATGGTCTCCGAAGTTTTGGTTTTTCATCTCCTTCACTTTCAGCTTCAGATAATTCAGCCAATTCATCTTTTGTGGCACTGAAGGGTCTTGTTTGCTTCCTAATTCTTGGGGTGTCAATGACCAAGCTATTCTGTAAAATTTAATGTTAATATTACTTGAAGATATTTCTTAACTTTGATTCAATAATGACCCATATATTCATCTTTCAAATTAATAATTACAAAAAGCAAAAAAAAATTACTATCAGTTCCACCACTCTATTAAAGCAAATTAAATTTTTTTATATTAAGATTATTACTACACATATATATTTTCGGGCATTATAATTATAAGCTAAAGCTAAAAGAATTTGATATTTTATTATTAATATAAAAAGCACTGGGCTCCTACAATAATCATAAAATCTATTTCTTTTGTCTAATTAATTCATAATTTAATTTAAATTGTTTTCAATTTTAACATAAATAATACTAAAGTAAATCTTTGTGGTCCAAAAGGAAAATAACCAGGAATTGAAGCACTGCTCAAAGGTTATCAATATTTTATAGATCTAGAAACATATTTTAGTTCTGTGTAATGGAGAGAACCTGGGCTGGTGGACTGGTTCAAGCAGTAGAGCGCCTCCCTAGCAAGCTTGAGGCCCTGAGTTCAAACCCCAGTACCACCAAAAAAAATATAAAGAAGAGAACTGATATACTAATATACAAAAGCAAGGCAATTAAGTGTTATCAACTTTCCTGTTGTTCAGTTCAGTTGAATTCATTCAAAACAACTTACGTAGACATGCCTTTTACCTTTATCGTGAAACTTCTCTAAATTAGGCACTATTTTAAGGGCTGTGGATATAAAGATGAGTAAGATAGCTCCTGCTCAAAAGGAATTGACAGTCTTGAGGGTCAGGTAAGAGGATAAAAAAAATGGTAATCAGGATGAAATATTTTATGATGCAAGAAGGGTACAAAAATTGGCAGAGAAAATTTCACAAAGTAGTAATGTTAGAAAGAATTCTTGAATAATTAGAATATTGCCAGACATCCAGGGAGGAAAGAGCATTATAAGACAGGAAAGAGCAAAGTGACTAAAATGGCATCAGATGTTTAGGAAAATTTCAATCTTAGACCACAGGAGAATACATGGTAGGACAGGAAGCTGGGACCAAGTATGGAGGTTTTGGTGTACCACAGCATGTATACAGTAGGCTGCATTTAAGGGGTATATGCATAATTTTAATGTCTTATTATACATATGTAAACTCTGTCAAGTTTCTCCACTTTAAAGTTGACAGTGTTCCTTCTGTAATTAATATACATTTTAAAAAATATACTTTGAGAATACAGAAATATCCTATTTCTCAAACTTTCACCCAATAATTTTAGAATTCATTGAAGGATCTTATATTCTGTGATTATTGTTATGGTGGATCAATGGTGATTTTCTATTTCCCTTATTCCTTCTACATTTATTAATTGAAATTCTTCTGTAAGGAAGAGCTGTTCCTTTTCTTTATACCAATTTCTTCTTAAAAACTACTTGTACTTTTTGAGTGAAATTTCAGGTGTCTTTTGCTCATAACCTTTGAAGACTGTGATGGATTTCTAATAAGAAAATGAACTTTTATATAATAAAAATTTTAGCTTTCATATATATATCTGCTATGAATAGTTACCCATTGGATTGCACTTTCATTTTTTTGTAACATAATTCCCAGTCAACTACAAGCTGCATAGGCCAGTCACTGTTTTGTGATTTTTTTTTTTTTGTAATTTAGAATGTTTCTTCGCAAGTTTTGATAAAAAATCTTGTTTCTCTTATTTCTCATGCCTTGATTTAAAAATATTTGAAACTTTCAATGAGAAACTGTGTTTACTGTCATACTTTCCCAAAGCTAATGCAATATTCTAATCAACATTTATTAAATAATCCTTCTTTCTCTATTACTATTACTATATTGATCTTTTTCTGTTATGATTCTATTCTTTTTATCTCTTTGTGTCTTTTAGTATCATACTATTCAAATTACTGATTTATAATATATGAATATTTTTGGCAATTAAACATAAAAATGCTATCCTGACCTTATTGTTGTTTTCCACCAAAGTATAAATTTTAAAATTTATTTATATAAGTATTAAATGACTGTTAGGTACTACCAATATTTAGGGTAGTAAAATGGCACATTTAACTTGCATCTAGTTAAACCACTAAAATCTCTCATGAATTTTAATAGTGTTTTGCACTACTTACTTTAAAGGCACATGATATGCCATAGGCAAATAATATTTTTGTAATTATCTTTTCAAACTTACTTGTTTCACATAAAATGATATGTATTTCCAAAACACATTAAGCAATAACAATTATGAAAGGTAGTGATCTTATTCTTAATTGTAAAGCTTTACATTTTTAAAAGCTATCAATGAAAAAAGAATTCCGTTTATCAATGCTGAATAAAAGACTCCTTTATTCATCTAGATGTTATTTTGATAGAAGATGAGGTTCACAAACATTAATTCCTATGAAATTACTTGATAGCTCTCTTAGTAAATAAACAGTTGTGTTATTATCAGTTCCATGAATTTTATTTTAGCCTTTTTCCCTTTCTTCCTGAATTCCAGGGAAGTCATAGAAGAAGCCATTTACAAATGCCAGGATCCTGACTGCCTCTAATCTCCTTTTGTATTTCACTGGAGCTGGCTAATCTTGAGAATCAGCTTGATTGGATTGATAAGCATCAGGGAAATAATTGAAGCATACCATTGGGTATATCTGTGAGGTACTTCCAGAGTATTAACTAAAGGAGGAAGACCTCCTGAATGTGGAGGCAACAACCATAGGTTCAGGGCCAGGATGGATAAAAAGGGGAAAATGGAGAAAAACAGATAGTGCAGACTTTTTCTCTCTCTGCCTCCTGGCTGCCATAATGTGACCTGCGCTACTCTGCCACATCCTCCCCACCATGACAGACTGAAACCTTTGAAACTGTGAGCTAATAATTGTTCCACTTAGGTTAGCTTTCTCAGGTATTTTGTCACAATAATGATAAAATTGATTAACACAGACATTAATACAACAAAAAAAAATTAAAAGTAACATGATTTGAGACATCTCAGCATTTAGAAACATGGCTGTAAGAATGTAGACTACATATAAAATTAAACATTATCTGTATCATAATCTATTATAACAGACATCAGAAGTATTAGACTGAAGCAAAGCCTAATTCAGTATGTAATTATTCTTTAACCTCATTTCAATTTACATAATATTTATTTCAGAAACTTCATAATTGAATACCTTAAAATATTTCAATAATATTGCCAAAGTAAATACTTACTCTGCCACTGATAGCATCTATATCAATTTCTGCTTTTTTAGCCCATTTTTGCCAGAAGTTAGGATCATCTAAGGAAATATCTGTTCGATTTCCAGAAGCCACAAAACTTGCCTGAAATTTAAAAGCAGGGTTTTCAAAATGAGGGAGAAAAAAAATATACTTCAAACATTTTCTCTTCATATTTATTGTGGAAAGAATTTGAATCAACATACACACAAACACTTAAAGCAAGTTCAAATTCATGGAATTTGTTTAACACAGTATTTGTTTAAGGCAAAAGCTAGAGATGAGGAGCTGAAGTAAATGAGTTACTACTATTGGTTAGCTCTCAAGCTTTTGATGAGCAAGAACTATATCTTCTTTTTGTCAAGGAAACTGCAAAGGACAAAAACATGCTCTATAAAACACCATGTGAACATTAAGAAATTAAGGTACAAAAAGTTTCAAATTTTATCTACATTATATAGTTTGTTTTCTAGTATACTCCCTACTTTATTTCTACCACATTTTCACATAGTTTATCTCCTGAAGAAAATACAACAAAGTATTTGGAAACTAAAAATCACTGGAACACTGTGAGTGTTGTGTTATATGGTTTTAAAAAAAAAAAAAAGTGGGAGTGGGGGGACTCCACAGATGTGATTAAGGAGCTTGAAATGAGGAGATGAACATGTATCATCCAAGTGGGCCCTAAATGTCATTACAAGTCTCCTTAAAAGAAGGAGGAAGAGGGAGATTTGACTATAGAAGAGGTTTAGCATATGACAAAACAGAACAGAGACCACAAGCCAAGGGACTGTTAGGAACTGGAACAAGTAAGAAAACAGATTCTCCCCTGGAGTCTCCAGAATGGACTGACCTTGTTGACATCTTGATTTTAACCCTGTCAGACTCAGGGTTGGACTTCTGACATACCAACTATAAAAGAATAAATTTGTCTTGGTATAAGCCACTAAATTTGTGGAATTTGCTGGAGTGGCAACAGGAAATAATATAAGGAGACATCTTCTAATGATAAACCACATACTATAAAAATTCACATCCAACTGGAAAAACAAAGGCTAACTAGCTTGATAAACAAAAAACAAGCTATAAAATTAAGTACATATAAAAATCCCTAGAACTATTTCTAGTCAGATTTCAGATTTTAAAGTTTTAGGGGTTTTGCAATATTTTTCTATTTTGGTTAAGTACCTCAAATCTAAAAATCAGAAATTGGAAATTCTCCAAAATCAAGAACTATCTATGCATCACATTGATGCTCAGTTTTAGATTTTGGAACACTCTGGATTTCAAATATTCAGAATAGGGAGGTTGACCTACACTTAACATTTCATCAAATGAAATGATGAATACGATGGACACACACCTACATATGCTTTAGCAATTCGTTAACTATAAAGGAACTTGATTTTGTTATCACAGAAATGAATCTATCACATCTGAGGACATGATACTTTGAAATATTTACCAATTTAAACTCATCAGTTTGTAGGAACTATGAGAAGTTGATTGCATTAAATGCACATGGTTTTGTTTTACAATATAGCTTCTGATGCATTCTCATTGAGATTTAACCCAATCTACTCAATGACTATTTGTTTTACATGAATTAGAAAACATTTAATAAGATAAGACATAAATATAGTCACTGAAAGGGAACAGATTTTTAAATGTTGCAGCAAATAATTTTTATTCTGTTCCCAGTAGATAGTAATAATTAAAATAATTTGACAATAACTAAACTTCATAATTAGTTTTTGTTATCTTCATTATAGGAAAAATGATTGATTGATTTACCTACCTACCTATAGATAAAGGCTCTACTAATTGAGCTATATCTGAAGCAAGATTCAAGATTCACCAAATTTTCTATTGTAAATTAAGCAGTTCAATTCTTTTGTCCTATATATATTTTTTTCCATACAGGGTCTCCCTATGTAACCCAGCATGGCCTCAAACGCAATACTCCTTCCTCAGCCTCTTGAGTTCTAGGATTGCAGGCATGTGCCACCATGCCTTGTGTTTACCAAATTTTTTAAAAAATCAATCTACAGCAGGCTAGACATGTGGCGAAGCACTGACCTAGCATGAATCTTGGGCTCAATCTACAACAGCATCCCGACCCCTCCAAAAACAATAAAAAGTAGACAAGTAACTTTCCTATTTCCAGGACCTACCTGAATACCCTTATGAAAATCTCTCAGAAAAAGATTTAGGTGATATAATCACGTTAGTTACCAAACTAAGCTCCATTTGATATATATGTACGAAGTCTAAATATTCTCATAAGCACTGTGCTCCAGATATGTACCTTGCTTTCAAATACTATTTGATAATGCAAAGAAATGCAAACTGGAGTTACTGTACTTTATTCATCCAAATCTCAGGAAACAACTGTACATAGCTGAAGTCTTTGGAAATTCCATGAAAAAGTAAGTACAAAACACTAGTAACTTCACATCTTTAGTGCCTCTATATAGTGGAGTCACAATCCACTATGCCAAATGCCCATGCCCACTATTTAGTGGCATTCACCTGTAACTAATGGAAATGACCAAATTATTTAAAGGAAATGGCTAAATTATAAAACAACTAAAACAAACTCTGGACTATCCTCAGTAACTGTGGTACCTTTTCAGCCACTTTTTTCAGTGTAATAGTTACTCCTCGGTCTGAGGCTTTACCACAAAGAGTTTAATGCCTAAACATTTCTTATTCTCAGAGAATAGATGGTTATGGTTAGACCATACCTTACTCTGCTAAGCAATACTTACAGAGCACAAAGCACTTTATAGTAAAGTAGGAAAGGCTGAGCATGAGTATTATGATCACTTTTAAAGAAAGACTCATACAGACTAACTGTCCAAGATCACTCAGTGTATAAGTCAAAATTCAAAGCCTGGAGTTCTAATTTCCATGATTATCATCATTAACATTTTAAATAAGGAAGCCTAGAATCACATGTGGTCACTAAATGCTTTTTGTTTGCCTATATTAATTTTTTAAAAATTAGTCTTCAATGAGAATATGTCTATGCTTAGCCTAATCAACAAGATGACAACCAAGATTAATAATATCTTTGGCAGTAACTAGATTAGAACATTTCAGACATTAGAAGGTAGATAGGTAGGTAGGTAGGAAGATAGATAGATACACAGATAGACAGACAGACAGACAGACAGAGCCAAGAAATCAAAGCAAATGAAATTCCCAAGGAAAGAAATTAGAGCCAAGGTATACTTACCCAATCATGAATACTTTTAGTTCTCAACCTTATACTTTAGCAATATTTCTTTTGTTTCTGTAATACTAGTCTTTTCTGATTTATTCTTTGTTAATGATTAACTCCCAAATCTGTATCTGAATCTTTGGCTCCTTTCCTTAGATGTCTCTACTTGGAATCCCAGAACTTGTCACAGGTACAAAAGCTCCAAATTTTAATTTCACCATAAAAATTTCCTTATTTTGCATTCTTCAATGACACTGGGACCCTCCTAATTATTCAAACCAGAATATACAAGTCATTTTTGACAATTTCTTCCATAAATTTCTAATGGGTCACTGATTGAAGTAGGTCTCTATTACCCTGGGTTCAACCATCATTATTTATCCCACACCCTTCTTTAATGGTCTCTCTGCCTCCAGTCTTTCTCCTTTCCAATTTGTTTTCCTCACTGCTCCCAAGGTTAAATCTATTCATTTTCTGCCTAAAGGACTTTTAAAAAGCTAAGCCACCTCCAAAGGTCAAGTTTCAATTCCTAAAATGGCACACAATGCCCTCCACAAGTTGGATGCAACTTCCCTAACATCTTTAGTTTCACCTGCATCTAATTCAGCCTACATTTTCACATATACCTATACCATATTTCTGAAATCTGTCTTTGTAGTTTACCAATGTTAGTAATGTATGATTCACTTATGAGTCTCTCTCTCTCTCTTTCTCTCTCACATACACACAAAGTTTAAGACTTACTTCGAATGTTATTTTTTCTGCAAAGGCTTTTTTATTCTCTTTCCTATTTTACACAGACTTTATAATTTCCATTTTTATTCCCAGAAACTATAATTCTTTCATTTTATTATTCCTAGCACTTTGCAAAGTACCTGATACAAAAACTCATTATTTTGCTGAATGTATAAGACACAAGCTTCTATTTGAAGACTGAAACCAATACTTTTGGTGCAGTACTTATGTGATACTGCTTTAATACAGGGCTTTCCAGGAAGATAAAGAAAGACTTCGAGGTGGGAGCAGAGATGGAGATGGGAATGGAGGAAAATGTAGGAAGAAAATTTTCCACCTATCTACAAAGACCTTTTGCAAATCAGGGCAGTGAGACAGAAAACGGCAATGAGAAACTCTTTAGATGAGTAGAAGATATAGATTTACCATGTCTCTACTGAAAAAAAGGAATAAAAAGAATACAAAGGCAGTTAGTAAACTCTTCAATTTTTTCTCCAAAGAGTACATACAGTATTAATGCTTCTACTTTACTCCTTCCAAAAGTAGATTTAGTATTTAAATAGAAATTAGAAATCCTTTCTTTCCTTTAGGTTCTTTAAATTATTAAAGTTAATATAAATTGATTTGGCCACTTCCATTTTAACTTACAATTTTCTCTGCCTACAGCATATATTCTTTAGTTTCTAAATTTCTTTTATTTCAATGCTTTACTTTTATTAATCTGTAGAACTATTTCTAGTTATCACATTTACTCCATTTCATTAGGAATAGAAGAGTACATGCAAAACTTGATAAAAGAGCACAAAAAATGAAAAGAATGCATTAGCTATTATTTTTTAGCATGTTTAATGACATAGGGTAAGAGACAGTAAAGGAGATGTGATCATCTCTGCTATATTTATAAAATATTATTCACTGTTACCTTGGCAAATGTTGAACCACGACCTTCTGACTCAATAGTAATAGTTTTTGTACGGCAGAGTAAAATCTGATCGATATCTTCCTCACAGAATTTAGAGCCTTCATCTTCCTCTTCCATAATGGCACCATAAGCACCTCTTCGAAGCAGGTCTTCTATTTCCTTTTTGGAAAGCTGTTGAATCTAAGCAGTATTTTAAAAGCTCATAAAATGGTAAAGTAATCACAAAGAATGTCAAAAGCATGACAGGTAATATTTGAATTGCATTTATATTTGGGATGCACATGAGAGAAAATACACTGAAGTAATACATTGAAGTGACTCTTCCTTGTTATTTTTTAAATATTGCAAATCTGCCTAAAATGGCTTCAAATAAACCAATGTATGTCTAAGGGGCAGGTAACCTGTAAAGGTTGTTTTTAGTATAAGGACAGAGTGCTAACTAGGGATAGACAAAATTCTTGAGGCAAAAAAAAATTCCACAAGCCCTAATTAATAAGAAGACAAAAGCCAATGACAAAAGTTTGACATTCTAAAAAATTTGAAAGTTATTTATATAAATAGCATAGAAAATTCACAAATTCAATCTTTATCACTATAGATGTTCTAAAAAGAAAGCAAAACATTTCTATCTTGAAAGCACAATATTAGAATTTACAAGCTCTGGAGCTTTACAGACAGATCAAAAAGTATTTGTGAATATTAATTCAACATAACTCCATTCTCTAAATGTCCTCTTGAATAAACTGAAGTATGTAGTGTTGCTTATGGACCAAATGGATTGAGTCTGAGTATAAATAATAGTAACACAAAAACCTCAAGTTAAAAGAAGTATACATACCCCACCAACATTACTTTCTCTTCCACTCATGCTTTGTAACACAGCTTTATCCAGGCCCAGTTTCAGACTGGCTCTGTCAAACATCTCTCTCTCATAAGAGTTACGAGTCACTAATCTGTAGACTTTAACTGCTTTGTTCTGACCAATTCTGTGGCAACGAGCTTGGGCCTACAAAGAAATGAAAAATTACAGAATGAATTTTCTTCAGAAAAGGCATTTATTAGCAAACTATATAAATGGAATATAAAAGTAAGGAAGAATTTTTAGAGACATTTGCTACTGACTTGGATATAATCTTTTCCCAGAAATTAGAGTTTTATGTGATCCGTTAAGACAAAAATATCCACTAATCATCTTTCTACAGGAAGAACTGACCCTAGTTTAATCTAGTTTCTTCCTAAGTTTCTGATATTTTGAACAATATTGCATATAATTGCATAAATGAGCAATTAAATTTAAATATACAAGTAAGACAAACTATTAAAAGTATATATTTTTATTCTCATTAAATTAATTTCACTTATTCGATTTAGCATAGATGCTTCTTAGGGGAACATACATAAAAATAAAAGATATAGATTACCAAAAGTTACATGCATGAAAAAAAATTACATGTTAGACAACACATTTATTACCTGAAGGTCATTTTGAGGGTTCCAATCAGAATCAAAAATTATACATGTATCAGCTGCAGTTAAGTTGATGCCCAGCCCACCAGCTCGGGTACACAAGAGAAAAACAAATCTATCTGAATCGGGTTTACTAAATCGATCTATTGCAGCTTGTCGAAGATTCCCTCTGACTCTTCCATCAATTCGCTCATATAAATATCTATTCAAATGAAATGCAATAAATTTAAATAGATGAATAAAATGAAAATGAAGACATTTTATCAATTTGTTTTCCTACAACATTATGTTTACTACAAAAATTAAACAGTGATATCATCCCAATTACTTTCCAAGGTTTTATACTTCTTAGTGTTAGTGCTAAGGACACAAAGTAATATAAAAACATAAAATGTCTGCATTCCTGGATGGATAGGTAAAATATCATTGCAATAAATAGCAACTTGGAAAGTTGTGATGACAAAAAATGTTCTGTAACAACTATTTTGCTGTTCTTATCATAATAAAATTTTTTTTACAAGATGTAGCAACTTCCATAAGACTATACAAGAAGCCTATGTTTCTGTTTTGTCCTTACTCCATGTTACTCTCTATACTTACTTGTATGGTATTATCTATGGAGTATAAACTGAAATGTAGAATTCTTATAGTCACTACTGCAAAGCAATGATCTTTTAACTTTTTTTGTCCTTTCCCATTTAAGATGTGGAAAATTAAAAAATTGCAAGGCATGAATAAAAACTACAGAAGCTACAAAAGGAATGCAAGTGGTATTCCCGGGTTTTTGCCAAGCTTCCTCTGGTTCAAAACACTTATATACACAAATTCCTAAGTGTCAGCATCATCTCCACTAGTATAGCTAGTATCTATAAAACAAGGGTATGACTTCTAGAAACGGTACTCAAGACAATGACTAAACTTGAGGCTTTCTATGAAATATATCTAATGGAAATTTGTATGTACAAACATTACTTTCTGTATAAAGTTCTTTGAGTAGGGAGATCAAGAAAATTTAAGACTGGCTAGTTTTAGTAATACTGCAATTTAATGCTCATATATGGTATAAATTTGAGAATACACATTTTTGCATGTATGTTTTATTTAATTTTTTTTTAGTGGCACTGGGTTTGAATTCAGGACCCCATGCTTACTAGGTAAGTGCTCTACCATTTGAGCTGCTCTGGTAGCAAGAATATATATTTGGGAATGAGTGTACAGAAGTTGAACATTAGCAATAAAAATGGAACTAGATAGAGGGAGGGGACGGGGGGAAAATGGTCCCAACAGTGTATAAATGAATTAAAAAAATACATAAAAAGTTAAAAAAAAATGGAACTAGATACTTATCAGCATGTGCATGAACCCCCACAAAAGGAACTAGAAATAAAAATGAACTATCTAAGCTGATAATATGAACTATGGTAATCTTCACTTAATCTCTGATAGTATGAATTAGTACAGGCCTTTTCTTATCTGTAATAATCACTCTTTTAAATTAAAATCAATAGCTGAAACTTGATTCCTTCTTATAATATGGTAATATCAGATTAAATTTAATGCTATGATAAAACATCCTATAAATATTCTATTTACCTAAATAATGATTAAGCAATATTTAATGCTATGTTACTATCAAAACCCTCCCTAAAAAAAAATATAAACTATATTAAACAAATCAGAAAGGATTAAGCCATGAAAAATGAACAAATTTTACATAGCATATGGTAAGAATCAGAAAGTACTAATTATAATAATAAAATAGATCTTTAATCACTCTTGAAACGCTTCTCACTCCTTTTTAAATTTTTTTTTGGTGGTACTGGAGTTTGAACAAGGGGCCTTGCCCTTGCTAGGTACAAGTTCTACCTCTTGGAGCTACTTCCCCAGATGTTTTTACTTTTTTTTTGTGGTACTGGTGTTTGAACTCAGGTTCTCAAGCTTGCCCTACCACTTGAGCTACTCCGCCAGCCCCCTTTTTGCTTTTGAAGTTACTTTTTTCAGATAAGTCATGTGTCCCAGAGCTGGCCTGGATGCAATCTTGCTAAGGCCTCCTGCACAGCTAGCATTACAGCCTTCCCCAATATGCCTAGCTTTTTTGTTGAGCCAGGATCTCGCTAATTTTTTCCCCCAGGCTAGCCTTGAAGTGCCATCCTCCCATGACCACCTTCCAAGTAGCAGGGATTATAAGCATATAATAATCCCACTGGTTTTTCTTTCTTTTTTTGGTAATGAGGATTGAACCCCAAACCTCTTGTATTCTAGGAGAGGGTCTACCACTTGAGCCACATCCCAGCTCTTTTTCTTGTTGTTGTTTTGCAGTGCAACCTGGCCTGAAACATACTCTGTAGCCCAAATTGGCTGGGAATACCTGACACTCCTTCTTCAGCCTCCCAAACATCAGTATTAAAGTGTGCACCATCATGCCCAGCCTTTTGAAAGACTTTCAATTTTGAAGATAGTTCTCTTAAATATAAGTTCACTTAACGTGTCATTACCATATGGTTTACAAGTCAAGTAAAATGACAATAAGCCCATTCCTAGGTCAAAAAAACTTGCACCAACCTTAGTAACACACTCAGGATAACTGCTAGTATAGTTCAGAGAGTTGCAGTAAAGCTTACTTACCTTTTATGTATGAGATAGTCCTCGAGGATGTCAAGGCAGCGCACCATCTGAGAGAAAATGAGCACTTTATGACCTCCTGCTTTCATTTTGGGAAGCAATTTATCAATAAGGACCAATTTACCAGCAGATTGTATCATTGCTTGAAGGTGAAAATCAGAAGCAGCTGGATTATATGTATCTCTAAATTCTCCAAGTATTTTTTCCTCAGCACCTGTCAAAGATATACGAAACAAGAGGAACAATGCAAAAATTGCAGGTAATTCCCAACTGCTTTATTTTAATCAGAATTAGTGCTGGTTCTGTAACATATAATGATTTTCTGGTGGCAAG